CGAAGCTTGAAATTCCTCTAAAGAAAGTGAAGAGCCCGCCATACCCCACGCAAAGATTAGTCCAACTAAAGAGAGCCAAGCCCAGAACAGAAGAACATCGAGTACCAACCCGCTTTCATTAAACACCTTATCGAAAATTCCACGCGCCAAGATACCCGCATGGATATGCTGGAGGCAAAGGTGAACGGTGATCCTGTAGCTGCAAAGCACAAGAGCAACAAGCAAGATGAGAACACAGCTGATGTGACAAAATCAAGAAAAAACACCGGAGATGATCATCTACGTGCGTCCACGCAACTTTGGTTAACTGGTATGCGCAAGAGCCACACTGGCATGCCGGAGTGCTAAAGCAACAGCGGTTGAAAGCAAAGTTACTGGTTGTGTTCGCGAAGCTGTTTCTTGAAGACGTCTTCGTGCTCGGCCAAAATTCGGCAGAGTACCGGGATCGAGTGCTGGAGCTTAGGAAGCACGTCAAGGGCGCCATACTGGCATTCTTGAGGTTGGAGCACGGCACCAACTCCCCTGGTTTGAGCGCGGCCATCAAGCACCTCCAAAAGATTAACAACACCGACAATCTAAATGCCATGGTTCACCGTCATTGCCGACTTCTCCAGACATCTACAATTCTAGATCCATCTCCCGGCTACACGCAAGACTTACTCCAGGAGGCATGTTGCTGCAAGCATTGTAGTTTCTTCATTGTAACAGCACCCCCCCTCCCCCCATTAAATTACAGGGAACACAATAGAGATATTCATTAGCAGTCGCTATGATAGCAGCGCCGTCTCTCCTCAGTGTATATCCGACAGACGGTTGACCCAGCAAAGTGGGCGATGACGACTGCACTTGCGAATTGGACACCAAACAATTTCACAAGGATCTATCGTCATAGCTGGCGTGCCATCGGTATTGGTTTACACCTACCGGATCGGTTATATATTGATGTTAAGTTTAAGCTACGCTGCAATTTGTTCAGCAATAATTTTCCGCACGGGGGTAGTACAAGGTATACGTTTTCTTTTGAAACTAAGTTATGCGCAGCCTGCAAGCTAAGAATACAAACACACACACACACAAAAAATATGTGGAAGGTCCTTACAACACTCACGATTGATTTTACATGTGCGACAGTACAAGTTAACTAGGTTCCGTTGTTCGCAAGAAAGGCTACTACATGAAATGCAGATGTACTGTAGAGGATGCGGGACAACGTGCAATGTAGCTTCCGGAAGTTTCCTCCAAACAAATCTTCAGCTATAGTGTCAATGGTATGGAAAGTGTTCGATGTTATCCAGCAGCTAAGGATATGGAAATTCATCAATTCGTCTCTGGGAACATGAAACGTGTTATTGCTTCATTTGCACAGACTTCAGAATGCATACAAATTTAATAAATGATCTCGTTCGCATCTGAGTAATCATTACGCGAGAGCTATTGCAAGTTGTTGACAGAATAACCCATACCTTGATGTTTAGCGCGAGAAAACAAACAACCAGCCGCAAACCCTTTTGTACGTTGAATGTATGCAAAAGCATAATATTCTCCCCACTCCAAGAGACCCTACACAGTTCAAGACATTCCGAAAGCTGCATTCACGGGACATTGAGCGTATACAAAGCCAGAACTGGTCCAACCAAGGCGCTTTTTCTATTTACTAGAACTCCGCGGCCTAGATTGTCCATCTGATCGCTTATCCTGAGAACAACCACCACGGGCACACTGGCACCATCAGCTGTCACCAACCACTGACCGCAACCCACGACTGGAATTCAACCTCTTTGCAAATTTAGATTTGGGCCGATTCGCACAGATACATCCATTCCGAGCGTGGTACGCTTATTGTTTGTGTCGGTGAGAGGAGGGGGAGGGCTACCACCCATTGGAAGTGGCGGTGGTTTCAAAAGCTGTGGCTTCATATCCGAAAGGACACTTCGACTTTTTTATACAAATACCCAATAATTATAAATATTCACTGAAATCTATTTTAGAGCTAAGGTTCTCTCCGAGTTCTATGATGTAGTGAATCGTAAGTTGTCTGATACAGGTATTCTCGGCAAATCGAGGTCGAGATCCGCCCAGCATTACCGCCGTTGGTACCACAACGTTCGCAGAGTGTTATTGGTCATGAATATGGCAGTGGTGAAGACTTGCGCGGAATGGATCAAATTTCAGATAGTTACGAAGCGGCTTGCCATTTCGGCATTTCTGCCTACCACAGCGCAAAGGGGGTAAGACATGTCGGCGTGCGACAAGGAAGCAAAGACGCGGGAACAAGGCGGTCATTCAGCCGCAGCCTCTCAAGTTGCTGTTGATGCTTCGGCGGCGGCCGTTTGGAAGAATAAGGACGCCCAGGGGTGCGCAAACGAGTGGTCGGTCAAGGGAGCAAAACAGAATTTATTGTGGGTCTTCAAATGGGGATTGCAATACCCTTCCATCCGAAACCTACAAAGCCCAAATTTGTGGTGCGTGAGACGTCACGCTCTCTAGCTACTTTTGGCGCGCCGCAATGCTTTCTAGGTATGTATATTTAGAAAAGAGGTCAATTAGATAGAGATACTGGTGTTTGTA